TTTCAACTGTTTCTGCCTGACTTCCCTATGAAAGACCACACCTGCAAAACAGGTGGGCATCTATCTCCAATTATAAGAACAGAGGACGCAACCTCTGCAATGTGGAGTGGGAAAGTCCTTCTATTTTTTTTTACAACCTTCTTGAAACCCTTGAAACTCTATTTCTCTACATACCATAATTAGTCTGTGATTATATTAATTGGTTACATATTTGTTGACACTGGAGTAAGTAGGAGAGGTTATAGGTTCTTCCGCTCTCCTTTTCTTCAGTGCAACTTTATCCTGCTTTCCCCATATGTCTTCCAATTTCCAAACTGCCCACCTCCATCTTTTGGAAATAATTTTGTAAATGAAGGGTTCAAGGAAAGGAATGCAGCACATCAATTCCTTTGACAATACCCATGTGCAAACACAAGTATTCTGTTACATTTTGGGGGATGATATCGATCAACCAAAAGATAAAGGTTAATATATACCACAGGGCGATACTGCAGAAAGCTGATTATAAAAGTTTACTTGATGAGTAATTTTACTTGGCATTATGTTAGTGGCAGTGACAAAAGGGAAACTGATAAATTTACTGAAATATTTTAAATTTAACTCTAAACCTAAGGGTGCGATTAGTTTTAGTGTTTTTTTTAAAAAAACTTGCATATTCATTTTAAAAGTTGTAAAGATATTCTTATGCCATGAAGATTTTTTTCACCCTTTGTTCACACTAGTTTCAACTACAATATTTGATTCAAATATCTGCTTTTATGGAAACTCTGGAGTAGACTTCATTCAAGTCTTAGTTTGTTTGCAAAATGGGTTGAATATCATGGCATGGGATTAGTCTCAGGAATTAGTTTTTTTCCATAAAATGTAAAATCTATATTTCATTTACCATGTGGATATTCTTACCCTGCTGCTGTCATGGTGTATGCGGATTAATCCATGTTATACTTTTATTTACTTATATTTGTATTTGTTGGTATTATTTGATCATGTTTCATAATTTAATATTACCATTGAAGTTGAAGTTGAAGAATGAGCACATTCTGTTTTTAAATAATTCATACCTAGCAAACACTTTTCTAGAAGTTACATTCTTTCCTATAATTACTCCAACACCTCCAATCACAGGATGGATTCAGGGAGTCAAAACCATATATTCAAGAATATATATATTTTCTCAGCTGGCATAATTAGGTCACTTCAGTCCCATCTATAATGTCAACCAATGCAAGTTTTCAAAATACTCATTCATTCTTTAACTAAAGTATGAAAAGAAAGTGTGCTGTTCTTACTGGCATGATCTACAACTACTTGGAGTTCTCACCATGTGATAGTATCTGGTCAACCTCCCTGGGTTCAGCAGCTAAGGAGAGTTGGACTGCTTGGATGGGAGCCCACCAAAGATTTTCAAACTGTAAGCTAGATGAAAATGTTGGAAAGCATCCTAGAAGACAAACCACTTGTACACTATTGCTAATAAAAAACATGGACATGTCCATGTTGTCACCAGGAGTTGAGGCTGAATGTAGGGAATCCTATGTTTTTATGGCTACTGAAGGTTCACAAAGGAAGTCAGGAAAGATCATAAGGAGGCCTTCAGTGAAGAGAAAAGGCAAAAGCAAACAGAACCTTGGATAGCTCCACGTAAATCTTGAGTTGAGTATCTCCACTATTAGAGAAGAAAGATGTTGTCTTATAACACTGTGAACATTTGGTGACCTACTTGATCATGGAAACTTCATGGTCTTGAAGACACCCCTGGTGCTCTCATGCTATTACGAACAATCCAATAGTGAAAGTGATTGCTGAGCTAATGTCAGAAATAAGAATTGTGTAAATGCCTCTCCTTCAAGAGGAATGCACATCAACCTGTATGTTTTCCAGCATTTGATTTCCAACATTTGATTTCCATTTGGAGACTAAGTATGCAAGATGACTGGCCTGACTCCAAATCTGTGGATTTCAAAATGCAGTAACAGAAGAAGCATAGAATATCAAAATATTAACTTGTTTTCTAATTGGGGACAGTTTTCCAACTCAGTAAAGTTTTAAGGCCTATAGTTACCCTCCTCAAGTCCTGCTGGGTGTGGCACTGTGGGGGTTTGTGAGAGGAATAAATGAAGAATGTCAAGAGTGTATGGCAAAGTAAATAATCCCAATGGGGTTATCAAAAGTGTGAAGGTCATCCCAGCTGCTCAGCCAAAGCAAGCAGGAATCTATTTTGGGAAGCAATAGTATAGGAAGATGCTGGGTAGAAAATATCATTTTAGTGACAGTGGCAAAGGCATCATTTCATACTATGCAGGAGGAGGCAGTGGTAAATTATTTTACCACGAATCCATATGGATAGGCAATATAATGTGATTGATGATATAGTGCTGGACAATAGACTCTCAAGTTGGATGGCATTCAATACGCTATTGAGGAAGAATGGAGGATCTGTTTGGAGTACTAATGTTAATTATGACTTGGCTGTATTAAAGATTGCAAGATGTCTAATGGTGCTAATGTTGCCACAAGAAAAAATAAAGCGCACAACTGCAAAGATGGAATTACAGTGGAAAGATGGCACATAAAAGCCTGGGAAAACTCAACACAAAGAGAGATGAAATGAATTGACTACACATTAACATCCTAGCCTTGGAAAAGTGAGACAGACACTTTGTCAGATAATAACAGTGTTTACTACTCAGAACACACACAAACACACATACAAGAAAACAAAAACAAAAACCCCAATTTTTTCTTTTTCTTTCATAGTCAGGAAGGGATTAGCAAGAACAGTGCTTGCTACAATGCAATCAATGACTAAATACTATCAATTAGACTTCATATTAACCTTTTAATCAGATAATCGTTGACGTTTATGCTCTAACCACTGATGCAGGAGAGCAGGTAGATGATTTTTATGATGATGTTCAATTTGTAGTCAACAGAACGTGCAAACAAGATAGGCTGCTGTACTATTTTTTTTCTCAAAGTTATACCTTTTAGCAAAAAGTTTTGCTAACGGTAATTTTTCTTCTACATGCCAGCAGAGTTGGCACACTTTGAATTCCTTCAACTAAACAGTGCCATCTATTGGGGACCCAGGAAGCGTGCCTTTACTATCATAGTGCTTATCCTCTGGAATGAAGCTCCCCCTGAGATCTGTGGTGGCTCCTACCCTGTTGATGTTCCATAAGACCCTTCTCCCAGGCCTCGGCTTAAGGTAGATGGTGCCCCTAGTTGGAACTGAGCTTGGTCTAGGTGGGATAAAACAAAACACTAAAAATACACTAAAAATTTTACTAAAATAGCGAATAATATAACACTCGACAAAACAACAACAAAACCCAAGAACACCGTGAATGTATTTATTTATTTGTTTAGGGGGGTTTAGGTAATGATAACGTTAAGAACATAAGGACAGGAGAAATGTTCCTATCTTTCCGTGAGACTTCTTACAGTCATCCTACTTTAATTCTAGATGTTTCACTTTATTCCTTTTTATATTCATTTCCCCCCCCCCCCAAGATACACTCTTGACACTATTAAAATAATGAGTTGTTCCACATGCAGTCCCAGAAACATACTTATTTTCTTCTATTTTATTTATCAATTCATGTCTTTTACCATTCCCTCCTATTATTTTCCAGTTTGGGGTCTCACTGGTCATAGTGAGCTTTGCCACTCTTCATGGCTTTGACCAGTTGAGGCTTTCACATAAGTAAAATAAAGAAGGAATAGACTTGATTATCAGCCTTAGTCATATGGGTGTCAGATGCAGCTTTCCCAACAAACAAGGACAGTACCTATAAAATTTGACATATTTTTCCCAGTATGTCACAAGAACTTCTGGAGCCCAGTTTTACTGCCAGAGAACTCACCCTATTCAATGCAAGCTGGATTCTCTACTCTCTACACTAGGGATGTTGCCTGCATCCTACCAACTAAGTGTGCATTGATGCACACTTAGGATTCTTTCTGTTTAGTACTGTACTACTTTTACATGCAAAGCAGGCTTCTCAAACGTTACGTTTCCTTCAGGGGCATCTGTCCGAGGTCACTAGTGACTGGTGGGGAAATGCTAAAACCAGCAATTAATAAGGGCCAAACCAGATGAGGCATGTCCTCCTCCTTCTCCCCACCTCTGTCCCTCTTTCTCCTCACTAATATGCTTCCAGAGCAGAACAGAACGCTTTTTGTCACAACTTTTAAAAAATTGTGCATAGGCTACTGATTGCCCATCCTTGCTGCAAGAGGGGTGGGCAACCAGTAGCCTAGACCTCGATCAACGGTCTTTGGCCCGGTTGTGGTTTGTATTTGTTGAGTAGGTGGCTTCCCCCAGTGACGCCAGGGGTAGGCAACCTTGGCTCTTTTATGACTCGTGGACTTCAACTCCCAGAATTCCTGAGCCAGCATGGCTGGCTCAGGAATTCTGGGAGTTGAAGTCCACGAGTCATAAAAGAGCCAAGGTTGCCTACCCCTGCCCCAGTCATACTTTAGCTTAGGAAAACCAGCAGTGTGAAAATAGTCTGCAGCTCAGCGGGTCATGAAAAGCCAGAAAACGGAGTGAGTTACTCTGGTGTTTAGGATTAAAAACTGGAAAAAAGAAGCAAGAAAACAGGCGCTGCTCAGCAAGAACAGAAACAGGTTCTGGAGGCTTTCTTGGAAGGGCGCCTCTTATGAGAGGTACCCTCGGAGGCGCGGGCAGCGAGGAGAAGAAAGGACCAAGCCCTCCGCTTCCACGGATTATGCCGGGGGGGGGGTAGAGGGAGAGGGAGTAAAGAGCCCGGGGAGGCTGGGAAAGAGCCCTCGGCCTGTCAGTCATCCAGCCCGGCCTAAATTGGCCCCGCCCTGCCCCGGCAGCGGGGTTTATAATGGGAGCCCTGCCTCCCAATGGCTCAGGCTGAAGCGTTTAACCTGTTGCGATCGGAGGGGCAGAGCGTCCTCGCTCTCGTCTGCGCGCAGAGTGTATGGCAGGGGGATAAAGTTTCTTCGGATCGTAGCTTAAAAATAAAAAAGAAGAGGCAGAAGCAAGTCGAAGCCCCTTAGAATTAACACTTCGATCCGCTGTTGCGCAGTGGATTGTCTGGAGGCTGAGCTATCCCTTCCTGCTTCCCGAGAGACCATGCCTGCCAGATTTGGGGGCTTGGTGACTGCCCGTTTGCTTTCGCTACTGCTGCTCCCCCAGGTCCACCTCCACAGAACTACGGGCCCCCGGGTGAGTGTAACCCCTCCGCCCGTCCTCTTGTCTCCGTTAGGTACAGGAGAAAGAGGAGGAGGAGGAGGGTGCTTCAAATAAACTTTTCTGATTTAACTCTCTTCGCGCTAACCCCTGGATCTGGTTTTACTCCCTTCTTGACAGGCTTTCTGCAGTTTACATAGGGGATTGGAATCATCATCTTCTTCTTCTTCTTCTTCTTCTTCTTCTTCTTCTTCTTCTTCTTCTTCTTCTTCTTCTTCTTCTTCTTCTTCTTCTTCTTCTTCTTCTTCTTCTTCTTCTTCTTCTTCTTCTTCTTCTTCTTCTTCTTCTTCTTCTTCTTCTTCTTCTTCTTCTTCTTCTTCTTCTTCTTCTTCTTCTTCTCCTTCTTCTTCT